TCTTTCTTTCTGACTTACAGGGTCCAAGGGGTAGAGCTGACCAGAGTGTGGTTTGTAACTTGGCCAGGGTCAGTCACTGAAGCTCCTCTGAACCCTATTCAAAGTACGTGGACTTTTGGATGACCCAAGATATGAGCGTTCAATAATTTTAAGGGGGAGCGTACGCTGACTCTAAAACCTGAACACCCTCATGAGCTGTGACAAATAAAAATGGCAAGCAATAGGATATATTGGCGAATATGAGGAAGCCATTTCGTATAAACCTAATTCAGCCTGACTTTGTCTTTCCAAAAGGGCCTGACCGTGGCTGTTGAGCATGCATTGTATATCTGCTTTAGATATTCCCTATGGCAAGAGCAAAAGGCCCTTGAGATAAAGGTGCAACTTCCCTCCCCGTCCCAATGTTGGCGTCTCCTTAAGGATTAAGCATCTTTCCTTAGGCTAGAAACTGATTGCTGCGTTCACCTGTGACCGCCCAGCTCGAGACAATAGACTTGTCTCCTGCTACGCCCACCAAGATAGCAGACCCACTACCTGCTGTGTCCATCAAGTGCTGTGCCGACAGGGCAATCTTGTGACTATTGTGGGAGGGACATTTCAATCATATGTGAAACACCCTGTTTGGGGGTATATAACCACTCTGTGCACCCCACTTCTTTGGTGCCCTTTCTTCCTTTGGGAAGAAAGGCCCCGGGCCATGGTCCTCAGATTTCAGCTCAGAATAAACTCACCCAAATTTTCATTTACAGATTGGTTATGGATTGTTTTCGTCGACAGCTGCTATCCTTTGTTGTGATGGGAGGTAGTACACGTGTTTTACTCCCTGTCACAGATTTACTTCTGACTACTCCAGTTAACCCTTGTCTGCTGGATCCCTAGAAGCTGGCCCCCAGACCTGATGGCACATACTCATCCCCTTGGGTATGATGTTGAGAATGGCAGTGCTTCTGCCACTTTTGTTTCAGGGGTTCTTTGCAACATCATATAGTGAGGCACTTGACCATTGAGAAAAGAAGAAAGCAAGCAAGAATGCAGAATGATACCACCTTGGGCACTGTAACCTGATCCGTCTCCTTCAGAGGTTTCTTGTACCCTCCCCCTACTTAAAGTAAAGGGAGCACCCAACTGTTCATGATACAGGCAGACACAGAGGGCCCTCTGGAGCAGATCTTTGTGAGACAGATACATTCCAGGTAGCTCCAGTTCTGACGAAAGTGGATGTTTTTTTTAAAGAAAGCCAACCCTTCAACCCTTCCTCATAGCATGCTATATTCTGGGAAGGGGATGGGCCTGTGTATGAAAGGAATCCTTGACAAACAGGATGGGCAAACCTTTGTTTTAGCTTTTTAAAGCGTGTGTTAGCTCAACCACCATAGCATTTCACTAATTTCTACAAGATCCACTATACTTGGGCAACTGCTAATTTAATAGTCTACATTCTACAAAGAGTCTTCAGGTTCTATTAACTTTTCCTACAGAGAATTTCATACTTCCAGAGAATTAACTGGAAAGGCCATTTAGTGGGGGTGCCATCCTGGGTAAGGGGATGCTGTGATACTGATGGTGATTAGTCAATGGGTATGTAAGTTTCTCAGGGTTATCAAATTCAATGACCACAAACTGTGGCTTAAAGCAACAGAAATTTATTCTCTCACAGGTTTGGAAGCTAGAAGTCTGAAATCAAGGTGTTGGTAGCGCCATGCTCCCTCCCAAGCTTCCGTGGGAGAATCTTTCCTTGCCTCTTTCAGTTTCTGGTTGCCTCAGGCATTCCTTGGCTTCTGGGAGCATCACTCCAATCTCTGCCTCTGTCACTACATGGTGTAATCCCTGTGTCTCTTGTCCTCTTCTTATAAGGACACCAGTCATATTGGATTAAGGGCCCAGAATTAGCTGTGGTATGGGTTCATCTTAACTTGCTTACACCTGCAAAGACCCTATTTCCAAATAGGGACATATTCACAGGGATCAAGATTAGGACTTGAACATATCTTTTCTGGGGACACAATAAACCCACACCAGTGGATTTCCAATTTTTATCCCCACACCAAGGAGTTTGAGGGAGTGGGTACAGCCACACCCCTGATTTAGAGCACAGAAATCTTTAAACTAAGATCAGGTTATATAACCACAGGCCCACTTAGAAACAGGTCAAACAGACCCCATAACTTATCAACAGAATGATTGAGAAACTGTCTTTCAGAAAATTTGCAAAGTCATGTAGCCAGAGAATGCACGGAAGAAGAAATCTTGACCAAAAAGTGACTGTGGAACCAAAGATTCTCCTCCTCGTGGAACAAAAAGACCGGAACATGATCAGAACTTAAAAGTTAGACTATTATCAGAAGCAAGGGGTATATCATCCAGGAAGATGCAGTATTAAAATTCCTTCCCCATGCTACCATAAAAGTTTAGAACCTCATGATAAATGTTTAAAATCTTACCATAAAAGTTTAGAACCTTACCTAAATGCTTGAAGCCCACCAGTCAAAACCTGTTGCACCTGTGTTTCCATGTGTCAGCCTGTTCTCCCTAACCCCTTAAATTTTGCCCCAAATCCTGAATTGGGGAGACAGATCTGAGGGCACATGCTCCCTGTATCCCTATACATCAGTCTCACAGAATAAAGCTGAATTCTTTTCCCAAGAGCTGATGCTGTAGTTAATTGGGTTGTTTGTGCGCATGGGGTAGGAGAACCCCATTTTTGTGCAGTAACAGTTACACTGCCTTGGAGGTTATCATTCTGCCTCCTTGCTTTCTTTCTCCTTTTCTCATCCTTATTGGAAGCTGCAATATGGCTTTTTATTGGATACTCCAGGACCAAGGTCACACTACTATAATTTCTGTCAATATGGGCTTTGTTGACTCAGGACATTCTTCTGAGTTGCCCCAAGTTGTTTTAACCCCACTCATGGGCTTCTATTTTCCAACTTCAGCCAATTCCAATGGCTTTTATACTTGAGGTGTTGGGGAGACCAGTAGAACCATCAATGGCTTTATTGCTAAGTTTCAAGGTCCTCCTTGTCCTATGCATCGAAAGAAGGATTTAGCACATCTTTGAAAAATATCTATCCATGTAATTCTTGCTTCCAAATGCATTGGACTCTCTTAGCATCATTCCTCAAGACTGGTGATTCCTTTTTTTTTTTTTCCTGAGAAAGACTGGCCCTGAACCAATGCCTGTTGCCAATCTTCCTCTCCCCTCTGACCCCCCCAAAGCCCCAGTACATAGCTGTATACTCTAGTTGTAAGTCATTCTAGTTCTTCTATGTGGGATGCCACCATAGCATGGTTTGATGAGTGGTGCATGGGTCCGCGCCCAGGATCTGAACCTATGCTCCTGGGCAAGCTGAACCTACCTAGCTCAAGAAGTGGGCCTAATTTGTCAAAGGTAATTATCAGCTCTCTTGTCAGTGATAGGTTAAGGAACTCAGGCCGAAGCCCACCAATGCATGACATTTTCCTAGCCATAGAATTAGGTTCTGGAATGGCCATGTAACCCAGTGGAAGGCAAGTGGAAAAATTCTAGGGGGCTTCTGGGCTGCAAATGTCCTAAATTTTAAGATGGTCCCCTCTTTTCTCTTGATCTTGTGCAGAGATGTGAGGCCTGGAACTGCTCTAGCCACTTTGCTCCCAGCCTGGGAATACAGCCTGACACCTGTAGGGGGCGCAGTTGAGAGAGCTGTAGAGAACTACATTTGGAGCTTTGACTGACTCCCACTTAATCGTCACTCTACAAGGATCTTTTCCAATTGTTTGGATTGGATTTCCTGTTTCTAAGAACTGTTTGCATTGGGTTTTCTGTTCTCTCAGTTGGAAAGCACTTTAACTGGCACATCCTGACGGGTCTCTCCGAGCAAATATAGATCCACCGGAAGAGATGGAGATTCCCATCAAGCTCCCAAGGGAGTCCATTTTCTCTTGTATTAAGCAGAGGGGTCAGGCTCCATGGCCTTGTATTTTTAGAAGTTGGTCATCAACTTAGTATCACAGGATTTCTGGCAATGGTTGCCCGTCCTCTGCTGTACTTCTGTGCACATCAGAACTCGGGTCCTTTCAAGCCCATGTAACTATCCCCTGAGTGACGAAGTTCCTTCCACAGGTGTTATCAAGTGGCCTTCACAGAACCGGTGAGGAGAGGAAGAGGGACAGCGATCATCAGGATCAATGGATTGCTTGGCCCTCTGAGCCTACAATCAGTTTACCAAGTATTGCTAAAGACGAGGCATGTGATTTTCCAAACGGATATTACAAATTCATGATCCACATCATTAACTGCACTCTCCATGCTCACTCTCTCCCCCTTTCCAGCAACAGTTCCAAATCTTCACTCACAGAAGATATTCTCTATTTCCTACTGGGAAAGCGCTACCCAGGGTAGCGCTATCCAACAGTAAGAACTAGAGACGTAAGAAATGAAACCTGTGGCTAAACCAGGCGATGACTATTAGGAAAATACCAGAGGACGCCCCGCCTGCCCGCCAGAAAGCGAGGCCTAGAGACAGTGACGCCTGTAGGGGAACATCGGAGAGCCTCTTTCTACCGGGCCCAGCCTTGGGGGGGGGTGGGGGGGTGGGGGGGGGCGTGACACATACAGTCCTCAGAGGCGTGGGAGAGGCCCAGGGCTGGCGGCTGCAGAGGCCTCTCTAGTTATCCCTTTGCCGCGCTCACATAGTTTCTCTGCCCACTCGATGCACACAACAAAAATTTCCGTGGCTTGCTCTTTGCACTGGGGAGAGTACGTTCCAGAATGAGACACACCAGGGAACTGGGGCGGAGGAGGGGCACTCAAACTCAGAGCCAAGAGAGTTTGCGGGGTGGGTTAGGGCGAACTCTGGGCCAACCTGCCTTCCCGCCGGGCCCCGGGGCGGGGCAGCAGCAGGAGGAGCGCTTCCAAAGGACCCCGCCGCCGACATCCCGCGCCCCGCCCCCCCCCCCCCCCCCGCCCTCCCTCTGGCCGCCCGAGAAGGCCAGCTCCGCCTGCCTGAGTCACGGCTGGAGCTGGGGAGGAGCCGGGGAAAGGCGGCCCCAGCACAGAGCACAGCCAGCGGCCGCGGGGAGAGAAGACTGGGCGATCGGGGATCATGGGGGAGAGCGCGCTGGAGCCGGGGCCTGTGCCCGGAGCGCCAGCGGGGGGCCCGGTGCACGCCGTGACAGTGGTGACCCTGCTGGAGAAGCTGGCCACCATGCTAGAGGCGCTGCAGGAGCGGCAGGGGGGCCTGGCTCGCAGGCAGGGCGGCCTGGCGGGCTCCGTGCGCCGCATCCAGAGCGGCCTGGGCGCGCTGAGTCGCAGCCACGACACCACGAGCAACACGCTGGCGCAGCTGCTGGCCAAGGCGGAGCGCGTGGGCTCGCACGCCGACGCCGCCCAGGAGCGCGCCGTGCACCGCGCCGCCCAGGTGCAGCGGCTGGAGGCAAACCACGGGCTGCTGGTGGCGCGCGGGAAGCTCCACGTCCTGCTCTTCAAGGTCAGTGACCTCAGGCGGCCCCCAGTCCGGGGCCTTTTCCCGCCTCAGCCACCATCGAGGGCTCCCCTCTCCCATACGCCTACCACACCCACATTCCTGACGCTACCCTCCTCCGGCAGCCTGGAACTGACTTCCAGAGAGCCGCACCCACTTCCCACAACCCTGCCGCATCCTTCCCTCACACGCCTGAACCCAGCCTGGCCAATCAAAGCCCGTCCAGCTCTAGGTCAGGCCACGTCCACAGAATTGGCTCCAAGTCCCAGCGAATCCCCGAATGGAAATAACGGTGGTGGACGTGCATCCTCCAGTTCTTGCCCCTGCGGCCGCCATCCTGTCTCACTCCCCTAGCTGGGTCCCACCTACTGTACAAACTTCTGCAGTTCACCCCCAGCTCTCCCTCCCTCACTCCACCCTCGTCTCCCACTTTCCTGAGCCTGCCTTTTCTCTCCCCCTGGGGCTGCGGAAGCTAAGGGTGGGGCGGGTTCCCCTGTAATTGAGGAATGAGGCTCAGGCTGGTGCTGGGTAGGGGGCCGCCCGGGTCAGCACTGTGTCCATCACATGCAGGAGGAGGCTGAAATCCCAGCCAGCGCCTTCCAGAAGGCTCCGGAGCCCTTAGGCCCAGCCGACCAGTCCGAGCCCGGCCTAGAGCAGCCGGCGGTGGAAGTTGAGGAGAGCTCTGACGAGGAGCCGGTGGAGTCCAGGGCACGGCGGCTGCGGCGCACCGGGTTGCAGAAGGTACAGAGCCTGCGAAGGGCTCTTTCGGGCCGCAAAGGTCCTGCAGCACCAACTCCCACGCCTGTCAAGCCACCTCGCCTTGGGCCTGGCCGGAGCGCTGAGGGTCGGTCCGAAGCCCAGCCTGCTCTGGAGTCCAGGCAGGAGCCAGAACCTCCTCAGGACACCGAGGAAGATCCCGGGAGACCTGGGGCTGCCGAAGCAGCTGTGCTCCAATTAGAGAGTGCAGCCTGATGGCTGGTGCTGCCCGCCTCCCCCGTGCCTCAGCCTAGTCCCAAAATAAATCTTTCTCTCAGAATGCAGCATTCACGCCCAAATAAGGAGTGAATCCTGCATCCACAGCCCAGCTCTGGGCCGTTCCTTCCCGGGCCCCTTCAGCCTAGTACCCTGTGTCCTCTAAAAGAGGAGCAGTCACTCACACCTGCTTGCACTCACCATCAATAAAAAGGAATGTCACCTAATCCAGACTCCATGTGAAGAGGTTGGGGGAGAAGGCTGTGCAAGGAATAAGACAGATGGTGGAACCTGAAATGTGGCTTCAATTTCAAACAGACCATTGTCTGATTTCTCGAGTTTCCTCTGAATCCTGGGCCGTACTCCAATGGGACATAGAAATATCCTGCCGACCGCTTGCTCTTTAAGCACTTTCCTCATAGGGAAGCATCCGTACAGTCTCTTGCTGTAGGTGCTCAGCCTGTCGCTTGCTGTAGGTGCAGTTTTCCTCTTAGTCTCTTCTTCCTGCACCACTTCGTAAAAGTTGGATTTTCCAGAATTCTGTCCCCAGCCCTCTTCTCATTCTGGGTACTCCTCCATTAGCATTCACTCCCAGGCCTCCCCTCCCAGTCACATACACCCCACACAACTGTCTTGAGCTGCAGTTGAAAAGTACTTCAAATTCAAGGTGTCCAAAAGAAGCCATCTATCTGCTACTTTTAATTAAGTTAAATTTCAATTCAATGGCTGTTTATTGAGCACTTTCTCTGTATCATTCAAAATTGCTCCCCATCTGTTGTTTTCTTGACCAACAAATGGCACTATCATCTACACAGAAACCTGGGAGTCCTCGTTGGCTCCTCCCTCTCTGCCACTCCCATACCACATGCAAACAGTTATCCTGTTGCTTTGCCCTCAGCAGTCTGTCCACCTCTCTTTCTTTTTTTAAAAAAGATTTTATTTTTCCTTTTTCTCCCCAAACGCCCCCGTACATAGTTGTATATTTTTAGTTGTGGGTCCTTCTAGTTGTGGCATGTGGGATGCCGCCTCAGCATGGCTTGATGAGCAGTGCCATGTCTGCGCCCAGGATCTGAACCAGCAAAACCCTGGGCCACCGAAGCGAGCACACGAACTTAACCACTCGGCCCTGGGACTGGCCCCCACTTTTCTTAATAGCATGGCCACTGCTCTATTTCAGGCCTTGTCTTTCACCTGATTATGATTTGAACCGTCAATCTGATCACATCGCCCTCCTGATCCAGACCCTTCAATGGCCAATGGCTCTCCATCACCTTCAGAATAAAGTCCAAGCTCTTAAATGCTACCTTCAGGGCTCTTCGTGATCTGGTCCGTGCCCATTTTTGTAGCCTCACCTCTTGCCACTTCCCCTCGTTCTACTATTGAATCACACTGAGCTATGTGCTCTCATTCTTGTCTCTACTGTCCTGCAAAACTCAGCAAGGTACCCCTGTTTCCAGACCAGATGTTTCTCTTCGTTGCTCCCAAAGCACCACCTGCACACCTCAGTGCTGGCTGCATTAATCATGATTGTTTGCAGTCACTCTCCCATCTCCCACTCCACTAGACTGTGGCTGCTTTGCAGTCGGGACAGTTTTATTCATTTCTGTATTTCCCATCCCAAACACTATGACTGGTACACTGTAGGCCCTCATGAAGCAAGAGCATCACAGAAGTGAGAAGTGCGAGGGGATTGGCTAGGGATGGGAACATGATCATCTACCCGTTCATTTAGTCATTGTCATATAAAAACTTTTTTGAGTGCCTACTGTGTTCCAGGCCCTATGCTAGGTCTTGTGAACACCAAGATGACAATCCCTTCTGAGGCTTCAGAGTTTAGGGAGATGCAAACATGTAATGAATGATGTAAATGTAAGGATGGTTATACAGAGGTTATTTCGAGATGAAAAAGGGAAGGGACACAACCTAACCTGAAGGAGGAAACATGGGGTATGTTTAAGGAAGTGTTCTTAGAAAAGGCACATAATGGGAAGGGAAACAGGAATGGTGAGGAACAGCAGAGCTCAGTGGTTTATTGTTTGGGGTCCCAGTTTCTTCATCTATAAAATGGGATAACGATTGCCCCTATCGGGCTCTTGTGAAGATTATATGACATAAGTGCCTGGCATAGTGCCTGGAAAATAATTTCAGGTGTATAATTCATTCGTCCACTCATTCAACAAATATTTACTGAACTCTGAGTGTCTGCCAGGCACTATTTTAAGAGCTGGAGATGCAGTGGCACACAAGAGAGACAAGATCCCTGCCTTCGTGGAGTTAAATTCTCATAAGGGGAGAGAGGCAATAAATAAGTAAAATTAGAAGCCAGATAAAAACAAGCCAACATATGAACTAGAAGGGCAGGTTATGGGCCCTGAAGAAGAGAAAACAGAAAGGACACAGATAATGACTGAGGAGGCGGGGAGGAGAACTTTAGGTGAAGACGGGGATTTAAAATGGAACTAGAGCTCAACGGTGATTTTTTAAAACAATTTTCATGGATTCAGTTAGAAGAGTCCAAGCCCCCACCTGCCATGATTGGTGGGAAGTCTAGTATCAGTCACTACAGGGCTGCTTCTTTTCTTTAGATTGTACGCTTCACACTGGCAGGTTTACCCATCTCCCCGTCTCAGACTGAATGTCTCTGCTGCTATTGCTCCCTATCACCACAGGATGGCGCTGTTGGGGTACCAGTGTCCAGGTTGATGCCTCATCTAACAACCCCCAGGCGTGCCTATCCAGCTTTAGCGTTCCGAACTTGGGGTCCTTCCAGGGAGGGCGGCTCTGCAGGAGCTCCATTTCCTCTGCAGAAATTCAAGGCTCCTCCTGCAGGCTTCCAGGCCATAGTGCGCACACTGTATCAGCTTCCCAGCAACCGTTCCTTTGAAGGTTCTGCCATCACGGAGGGCTGGTCTGAGCAGGCTTGGTTCTCTAGCCCCAAGGAAAAATAAATTCTTGTTCTTTTTCCAAATTCTTGGAAATCCACCCAAATTCCCCCTTTGAACGCATGCACAAAATTAAGAGCCCAAATGCACATTTCTCACATAAAATGTCTTGATAGCTCATTGGGAAGCACATGAAGGTTGAGAGCCTGATCCCTAGGAACCTACAGGTTTAGCTAACTTGGGGGTGGGAGGGGTTGTTACTTTTTATTCCTTCCTGATGCTTCTACAGCAGCAAATAATAAAAATCGAGTTAAAAGTAACTTAATTTCTTAACAGTTCTCTTTGTTATTAATACATATTATTATAAACTAAAGGGAGTGGAGATACACAGAGTACCAGCTTGTCATCCAGCATGTGTGGCATTGAGGTGTCTGCTTTAAGTAGGGAGGAGGCGTACTGGTAGATTACCAAAATTTAGAGTTTGGTTCTCAATTCTTCAGACCAGAAGCACAAATTTATTATGCTTTCCAGCATGATTAGGCTAAGACGTATTGGTTGGCAATAACCATACTCAGAAAACCCTGATTAACTTGAGTGCTGGATGTATTAATTTCCCTGAGAAGTCTAACTGCTAAGTGAGCTAGAATAATCTAGCTGGCCAGTCAGAACATTTTCCGTCCTGCAACAGAATCTACATGGGAAGCCAAAATGAGATCCTAAATTGTAATAAAATAAAGTAGTGGAAACAGGATGAAGAAAATGGGCAGGATTATCCAAGCTGTATGTCTGTTTTCCGCTGTAATATTCCTCCTACATGGGTAAGAAAATCTACATTCCTGGTAGGAAATTTCTTCCCCTGGTTAAGGACTGGAGGCCATTTTGACTTTCCTTTATTGAGAGTTGAATCATGTAACAGCATTGGAGGGAATTCAAAAGCCATCGAATCCACCTGCATTTGCAACACTTAAATGTCCTCTACCATCTCGCCTATACTTGAAAAAGTCCAGGGGCCGCCTGGTGGTGTAGTGGTTGCGTTCACATGTTCTGCTTCGGCAGTCCAGGGTTTACAGGTTCAGATCCTGGGCGCGGACATAGTACCACTGGTCAAACCACACTGTGGCGGCGTCCCACATAAAATGGAGGAAGATGGCATAGATGTTAGCCCAGCAACAATCTTCCTCAAGCAAAAAAAAAGGACCACAAATGTTAGCTCAGGGCCAATCTTCCCCCCCAAAAAAAAATAAAAAAAGAAAGAAAGAAAAGAAAAGAAGAGAAAAAGTCCAGGGACAAGGAACTCACTACCTCTCAGGCAACTCTATTTTTGGACAACTTTGACTGACAGGAAACTCTTCTTTATACTGAGATCAAAACCTGTCTCTATGGTTCCCAGTATGTGGTAGTTGGTCTCCCTTTAGCAACATCTGTACAATAAAATTCTTTTATTTCTGATGTGTGTGTCCTCGGAGTCTAACTCCAGCCGGGCACACTGGACTGACCCATCTGGGACTTCTACCACAGTTTCTTCCTCAGGGCAAACATTGCTGGTTTATTCAGCCATTCCTTGTGATATGTCCCTTCAAACATTGGCCATTCTTGTGTGAATAGTTTTAGTTTACCCAAATCTGTCTTAAATAGGGAGGAGTCAAGGTGCATGGAAACAGGATGGCTTTCACAGTCAAAGACATCAGAGCTTCATTGCTGGTGAGTGACACTTCACTTTTTCCAGCTCTGTTGTGAAGATTAAATAAGATTTTTCATTTACTCATTCATTCATTTGATATTTGTTGTCCTACGTGATGGTGATGGGTGGTGTATTATACAGACAGGGATGCTGCCCTTATGGACCTTACATTAAACTGGCAACTGTAATAAAGTTTTAAATAAGTGCTATGATGAGAGAAATATAAGCTGTTATAAGAACACACAAATGGGGCCTCTAACCCAGCAGGAGGGTTAGTAATTTCAGAGGAGTTCTCCCGAGGAGATAAAAAATATGATAAAAAAATACACTCATCTGAGTATCCCATTGATGCGCTAAATCCAAACACATCCAAAACAGCACTCATCCTTCTCAGGAGTCAAGACTGTCCTCTGTTATTCACCTTAGAGAGTGTTACAACCAGGACCTGACCCTTCACCCCACGCCCCACCAATCCCTACATCTAAGGAGTCAAGTCCTGCAGATTCTTTATTAATATCTCCCATGAATTTTTCCCTCATAAATAACTCTAATAAATTCAGGGCCACTATGAAGACTTGAGAAGAAACCCCAGACACTGGAAGGCAGAGTGGAGAAAGAGAGAGAAGTTGTGTATCGCCCTTTTCTCCTGGGCAAAATGGAGCTA